GCCCCGCGAGATGACCAAGAGGGGGAACACGAACAGAAAGTCCGAGCCTTCCGCCCCAAGAGGCGCCAGGAAAGCCCCCCAGAGGCTGCAACACTGCCTCCACAAACTCACAACCCAGGCACGGTGGCGGGATGGGTCGACAGCCATCAAATCCGCCGCCCCCTGTGCTTGTCACACGGGTGCCTGGCGTGCTTAACCCTATGTGGCTTGGTTTTGGACGTTTTTCCAACGCAACTTCACCCGGGGTTCCGGCTCATGCCGCCGGCCACCAGGAAGCGATGTCTGGCTGGTTGCCCAAATCACCTCCAAGACGGCCAAGGTGGCCCAAGATGGCCCCCAAGATGGCCTCTAATTCGTCCAAGATGGTCCAAGATGGCCTCCAAGACGGCCCGAGAGAGTTCAAGATGTCTCCAAATCGGCCCAAGAAGCCTCTAAGACGGCCCAAGAGGCCCCTCAGAGGCCCCAAGACAGCCTAAGAGGCCTCCAAGCGGTCCTCTAGGAGGGCCCCAGGAAGCCAAAATGATTGATTTCCTCAGGTTTTGAAGGATATGGGCGTTTGCTTCTGTTCGGCCTTCCGCCGCCCCAAGACGGCCCAAGAGGCTGCCAAGATCGTCCCCATAGCGCCCAAGAGGCCTCCAAGATGGCCCCAGGACGGCCCAAGAAGCCCCCCAAACGGCCCAGAGAGAAGGACGAGGAGGAGGAAGATGAGGAGGAGGAGGAGGAGGAGGAGGAGGAGGAGGAGGAGGGAGGAGGAGCAGGAAGATGAGGAGGAGGAGGAGGAGGAGGAGGAGGAGGAGGAGGAGGAGGAGGAGGAAGATGAAGGCCCAAGAGGCCACCATGACGGCCAAGGTGGCTTCCAAGGCGGCCCTGAAGCAACCCAAGAAGGGCCCCACGACGGTCCAGCGAGGCCCCCAAGACGGCCCCCCGCGACGTCGCACGGCCCAGGAACGAGGAGGAGGAGGAGGAGGAGGAGGGGGGGGGAGAGGAGGGATGAGGAGGAGGAGGAGGAGGAGGAGGAGGAGGAGGAGGAGGAGGCCCTGAGATGGCCAAAGGTGCCCCGAACACGCCCCCAAAGGAGGCCGAAGGAGATCCCCAAGAGGCCTCCAAGAGGCTCCCAGGAGGCTCCCAGGAGACCCCAAAGTGCCCCAGGCGGCTCCCAAGAGTCCAAGAGGTCTACTCCTCTCCTTCTTTTCCTCCACCTCCTCTTCCTCCTTCTCCTTCTCCTCCCTTTTCTGGCATCCCCTCATTCTCTTCTTCCTCGCGTGTTCCACGAAAGGCTTTAACGACGGCTGGGGGAACACATGGTCCGATAGCTTGGCCGAGCTCTAGCACAACTTTCGGCGACACAAGCGCTTCCAAAAAGGCAGGGGGCGGCGGTGATTCGCCGTAGGTGTCCTTGATAAAATCCAGGGGGTCGTATCGGCAAACGCTCCACGAACATTGGTATCTAAAAGCCTTGCCCGTTCATGCCAATGATATTTCCGACGTGCTGTGGGGCCGTGCACTTCCGGCATCCCTGACCGCATCGGTACGGACGCAACAGTGCATTCGTTACAATACACTGACGAGCATCTGGAGACAGTGATCTTAAGCATCGGTGATCTGGGTGTGTGCGATCATGTAAGCAAGGCTATGAGTTTCGCCGGCATGATCCAAAATTTCGCGATGCACTACGATTTGTGCATCAATGTCCGCTGGGTAGACGAAGGCGGCATTGAGCACATGAACTTGCAAGACGCTGACGGCGAGCTAGGCGACGCGCTGGCGCCCGGACATTTCAGGATAGCCGTTCGCCCAGCGTTATCAGAAATCCAACACCGTCTCCCGCCTGCAGCCGACCTTGAGGCGTATCTAGGCGACGAGTCTTTTTGAAGGGGCCCTGGGACACACAAATAAATACACACAAATAAAAAGATTCCCCATATTTTCCCATATTTTCTAGGGGATCGACAATTAATTGTGTCTGTGTGTTTTTCCCCTCCTGACTTTTGTTGAGGCCCAATCGATGCCTCATACATCCTGCACGAGGTACGGGCCACATTGCGTGACCTGTGCTGCATTAGTGTACATACATAGAGATCAAAGATTTCGGGGAACGCTGTAGTGCCGCGTCCAGTACAGATTTGAAGGGGCCCTGGGACACACAAATAAATACACACAAATAAACATATTCCTCATATTTCCCCATATTTTCTGGGTTTTTGTCTTCCCCACCGCTTCCCATATTTTCCAATATTTTCTGGGGAGTCGACGATTAATTGTGTCTGTGTGTTTCTTCCCCTCCTGAAGATTGCCGAACACTATCCCAACTCTTGGAACTGCGACGCCTCCTTGCCAGAACGAGGCATGACAATTTCGGGAACACCGATTGAGAGTCGAAGATACGCGCCAGTATACGGAACGCCTTTCCTTGAGAAGGTGGCGACGCTGATGCAATTTTTACGTAAACTTCCTTCTTTGCAATCGGCGTGGTTGTTTGTAGCTTATTTTGCCGCGCTGAGGCTCAACCATTCACTGCGGACCTTACCAGCCAATGTCGCCATCCCATTTGCTAAAGCACGCGACGTCTCATACTGCAATGCTTCCTCAACTCTGTTCGGGATACCTGGGCCACCTACCAGACCATCCCAATCCAACCCGAAAACCTAAATTTCGGGTTTGGGGGGGTACGGGTTCCAAGTGTGTTTTTGTCAATGTTCCCCGATGCCCCGCCCTGGGAATGGAGAGGGCAAAGCAGTGCCTTCGGGTTGGCTCGGGGTAGTTTGGTGGGATGATGATACCTGGCCCAACCACGTGGCAAACGGGCCTTGACGGGGAGACTTACAATCGGACCTAAGACATAAAAACATCCTTCAAGAACATGCGACCCTCAGCCGGGCCCAAACACAGAGAACATCCCAGGGTCCCCCCCTGCAGGATGCACAAGAGCATCCAACGACCACGAAAACCATTGGAGTACCCTCCCCGAGCCGCACTCGATCTTATGCCAAGGTTGGACGGTACGACACGTGGGCCCTGCAGGCACAACTCCCGCTGCGAGCGAGGGTTTCTTTGGCCTGCGGCGCTCGGGCAGGACGGTGGAGGCCGCTTCTTGGGCGAGCTGGGCGGATGTAGCCCTAGGGACTTTGCTGCCTTTCTCCAGCATCGGGCGTTCTCCAATCAGAACGTGCATGAAGGACGGGTGGTCAGGACGCAGGACCCTTAGAGGCCGAAATTCGGATTCTTTGGGCGGCGGGCGACCAAGGAAAACGGCAAGGGACGGGCCGCAGAGGCAAGGATAAGGGCGCCCTAGATGAAGGCGAGTCTCCTTACTAGGCGCGTTGACTTTATGGTGCACCACCTCACTTCGTTCTGAACGGGGGTACCCAATGGCCTCGTTTGCCTGGCGGCAACTGCAACTGCTGGCACGGTGTGCGACAAGACGGCATGGACAGAACGACCCAGATTGGAAAACATGGGCGGCGGGCATCCGTCCCCCTGAGATGGAAACGGGGTGGCACTCTGTTGCTTCGAATATGATGAGCGCCTTTCGCCATCGTGCCATGTCAGACATTTGGCGACTTGTCTGTTGACATGCCCCACAACTGCATCACGCATCCTTGGCGAGTCGCTGTACCGGTGGGTCCCGCAGTGACGGTCCACGGCCCCGAGCCCCACGGGCAAATCCTCGCGTCGGCGCTCGGCGGGAGGACGCACTGCAGGCGCACGGAGCCGCTTGCAGCATGGAGGCACGCAGCACAGATGGCGTGCAGAAGGCGTGAGAACGGCACAAACGTAAACTTTTGGCGCTCCGCGCGGGATTCTTGGATCTGCGCTGGACCCCCCCTCCCTGGCGCGCGGGGCGGCGCTAGAGGCGCCGCCGTGGGGGGGGCGGAGCGCCAAACGTGTATGTTTACGGCGTGCTTTCTTCTTCCAGCGTGGCTTGTGATGAATTGCACTGCAACGTGCTGTTGCGAGACCTGCTCCGAGCGCGTGTGGTGATCTGCCCCGCTCTCCGGTTCAGCCGCAGTGCCCCCCCTGGCAGACCTGGAGCCCGTGCTGGCAGAATCTCCACTCCCCATATTGCTGTCCCTCCTCCTCCTCCTCCTCCTCCTCCTCCTCCTCCTCCTCCTCCCCCTCCTCCCCCTCCTTCTCCTCCTTCTCCTCCTCCTCCTCCGATCCGCGCGCTGGATGCCCCCCTTGGACGTTAGGGAGCGTACGACGGTTATGGGATGTTGGAGGAGAGGGTTCAGAGGGAGCGTGTGGGTCTACTGTGACACCGCCAATCCCTCATACCCCGGCAGATCCTCCAGTTCGGAGGCACCGGGACTTGCTCCAACAGCTTCTAACAAGAAGGGCAAACTGTGGTTAATACCATAGTGCTACGTTTTTGCCTTCACACCGTCGCCTCAAACACATCCCCATCAGACGTGGGCCCCCGCCACACTAAGATCATAATGACAAGCCTAGCTCCCCTAACACCTGATGTCAGTAGATCGCGACGCGCGACGGCGGTCGAGAGCGTGATACGGTGGGACAGAACAATCACATCCTCCAAGAACATGAGACCATCCGCCGGCCAAAACACACACGGAACATCCGAGGGTATCCTCCCCTGGATGCACAAGAGCGTCCAACAAGCACGAAGAGCACTTGGGCACCCTCCCAGGACCGACCTCGATCTGATGCCTCGGTCCGGCCGCAGAAGATCGGGCAGCGGGAAGCCCAATGGGAATGCGAAGCCCGGGCACTTTCTAGACCCCACCCTGGGCACCCCTCGGATCGGGCGAAGGGGGGGGGATAGCACAGCGAAACCGGCTGCGTCGTGCAGCAGCTTTCGCATCCCTCCCCCACCTCTTCTGATAGGCCTGTTTTCCACCACCACCACCATAAGTTGGAGATGGAGGAGGAGGAGCAGGAGGAGGAGAAGGACCCGCTCCCCCTCCGACTTATGGTGATGGTGGTGGAAAACAAGCCCATCATCTTCTGCGTCCGACCCGACTGGACGATCTCTGTGTCGCCGCGCCCAGCCCGCCCTGCACGCAGGTGTGCCCGGCCCGTCGACCGACCGACGGCCGACGAGGACGGGTCCCCTTTGTCGGCCCTCGCAGCGCTAGGCGGCCGCGATGCGGTCACACGCGCCAAGCCAGGACGCGGGGCCCCCGCGCCCCTCAGGCCGGGGCCTCCGCGCGGCCAGCCTGTGTGTGTGGGGGGGGGCGGAGGAGAGGAAGAAGAGGAGGAGAAGGAGGAGGACGAGGAGGAGGAGGGGGAGGAGGAGGAGGAGGAGGAGGAGGAGGAGGAGGTGGAAGACGAGGCGGAGGAGGAGGAAGAGGAGGAGGAGAAGGAGGCGGAAGAGGAGGAGGAGGAGGAGGAGGAGGAGGAGGAGGAGGAGGAAGTGGAGGAGGAGGAGGAGGAGGAGGAGGAGAGGAGGAGGAGGGAAGAGGAAGGATGGAGGATGAAGGATGAAGCATGAGGAGGGAGGAGGGAGGAGGGGGAGGAGGAAGGAGGAGGGAGGAAGGCGGACGAGGTGGTCCGCAAAGCCCTGCGAGAGGAGTACTCCGCGGCAGCGGCGCTGCTGGCGAGCTCCGGACTAGCCCCTCTCACGGAGGAAACGGGGGAACGACTGCAAGCTCTGCTCGAGCCGCGGCCCGCAGAGCCGCTAGAGGCGCACTCGCGGGAGCTGGCGCCGCCGCCGCTAAGTCACTGGGCGCTCCAGCGGCCGCTGCGCACGAACCTCAAGGGCAACGGGGCGGCTGCCGGCGGGGACCGCTACGAGCACTGGCGGGCAGCCCTCGCAGACTCTGGCGCCATAGACGCACTCTGCAAGGGTTTGCTTTCCCGGGCGCACTCTGCAGGCGGCGCTTGGCCCCTTGCGGCGCCGAATGTCCTGCGGCGTTGCTGGTTGGGCGCGCGCTGCTGCAACCGCGGAAGGCGGACCTCGCGGCGGGCCTCGGCAGACACCAATTTGTCGTAGGCACGGCGGCCGGCACGGAGCTCCTGGGCGCACACTGCGAGAGCCCTGGCCGAAGCTCGCCCAGACCGTGCTCGTGGCGCCGGACGCCGGAAAACGCTCACAGCTTGGTGAACCGCGCTGCCTGCCTCGCTGAGCTGAAGGCTGCGGCCCCAGAGATCCTCCCCTTCGCGGAGCTCTTCTGCCAGTGCACTGCCAAGTGCCAGCGGAGAAAACCAAGGCGACCCGCTGGCGCCGCTTCTCTACGCCTGTGGCGCAAAGCCTCTGGTGGGCAGGCTGGAAGAGGAGCTCTGGGAGGCCGCGGAGCGCGCGGGGCTGCCAGCTCCGGGCGCCCACGCTCTCGCTTGCTGGGACGACGCTCCCCATCGTGGTCCTGGCGGCTCTGGCGACCCAAGGGCTCCCCACCGCCCAGAGCGTTCTCGGGGGCCTCGGCTTGACATGGAGCCGACCCCTAGGCGCAGGCCGGGTCCGCGGGCGCGGCCTGCCCCGCCGGCTTGGAAAACTTTTGGCGTTCGCAAGGCCTCGCGCTGGCTGGGGCGCCGCTGGCTGCGCCGGCCCCGGAGGGGGAGGATTTTTGGATTACGCTGCTGATGAAGCGTATGGCCTGTCAGCTAATGGCGGCGCTGCAGCTAGCAGAGGCAGTCAGCACAGTCAACTCGTGTGGCTGTGCTAATAGGCGAAAATCGCAGACTCTGCTCGGGCACCTGAAGTCAAGTCAGACAGTAACCGGAGGGGGAGGGGGAGGGAGGGGGGCGGGGCCCCTGCCTCCGCCACTCCCCGACGAGGGCGACGAATGCCGAGTGCCCTTGGGGACGACCGGCTACGCGGCTGAACACTGCGTGTGCGCGCGATGCGCGCGGCCGCCCTCCTCGAGAAGCTGCCGGACCTGTCCTTGGAGGCCTCCGCACACCTGCCGGCGACGCAGGCAGCTGCGCTCCTTCTGCGCTACTGCGGCAGCGGCAAGCTCACGCACAAACTCAGGAGCACGGCGCCGACCAGCACTGCGACCGCGGCTGCTGCCTTCGACGAACGAGGCGTTCCTCGCGGCTTACCAGCGACTGGCCCTCTTGGGCCCGCGGACGGATCCCCAGCGCGCCCAGTGCCGACTGCCGCTGCGCCTCGGGGGCCCGGGCCTCCGCAGCCAGGGGAGCAGCCGGCGCAGGGGGCGTGGGTGGGCTCTTGGGCCCAGAGCCTCGCAGAGGTGCGCACCCGGACTGGCTTGGCGGCGCTCGACGACTGGAGCAGGCCCCGCTCCACCCCTTTGCGGCAGCTTGCTGGGCCGCCCGTTTGCTGCTGTCACTGCCGCAGCCCTGGGCCGGTCCAGGAGAGGGGGCGGGCACTTTTCCCAGCTGGGCGGACCTTACCCAACAGCCTCGCACGGAAGTGCAAAAGGAGTTCACGCGGCGGCTCGACTAAACAAAACCTTTCGGCCCTGAGGAACATCTGCGCCAGCAAGGGCGGGGGAGTTCACGCTGAGTACGGCCTCCGCACGGGCCGCGAGGTCCACGTCTCTGCGCGGGACCGCTGGGGCTGGCGCTGCTCCCGCTGCGACACGCGCGGCGCAGCCTTCGCACAGCTGGGGGCCTGCGGCGCTTGCGGCCAGCTGCGGGAGGCCCAACGCGAGGCGCAGCGGGCTAGCTGGCTGGCTCAACGGGCAGGCTGCCGCGGCTCTTCAGGGGCGCGACGGTCCGGTACGCCGTGCCCGGGGACGCCGAAGCGCTGGTGGCAGCTGCGCGGCGCGAGGACGCGGTCAGCTCCGCCGCCGATGCCGACAAGCGGCGGCGGTACCCAGAGGGCCGCTGAGCCTGGCCGCTTCTGCCGCTGGCCGTTGAGACGGGCGGCCGGCACGGCCGGGCGGCGCTGCGCCACCTCCGCCAGCTCGCCCGCGACCAGGCGGAGCTGGTAGACGCGGCCAACGCGCTGGCGCAGCGCTGGGGCGCTGAACTCAGCGTCGCACCGCACCGCGCAAAGGCGCAGCAACTGCGGACCGCCCTGGGCGCGGACCGCGCTGGCGCCGACGGGGCAGCCGAACTACGGGCCGCCGCGGCGGCCTAGCCAGGCGGAGCCCAGTGCTCGTCTTCGCCTGTGCCAGCGGCGCGTGCTCTCGCAGGCGCTCGAGGGGGAGGCGGCAGCGGTAGGTGCGGACAGACCTGCTGCGCCACTCGAGGAGGGTCGGATGGACTCGGCCGGAAGAAGCGTCAAGCTCCACAGCGCCGTGTGGGGTCCATCAAGTGTTGGAGGGACCACGAACGGAACCCGAAACTCACAATCAGTTGCGGCAGAACCTATATCCCGCCCTGCACGACGAACGAAAACCACCCAGGCCATAACCACCCACCCTACTCGAGGAGGGGGGAGGGAGGAGGGAGGGGGGAGGGGCAAGTTAGGTGCGCTCGCGTCAACATCTGACATCCTACCCCTCCCTCCCATCCCTTACCATGGCGCTGATTTTCTCAATCCGCGGACGCGTGTCGTAGCGGACCTGTGGCTCCGCGCGCGTGCGCGTAGTGGGTGGTGGTGCGCGTGCGTGCGTGCGTGCGTGTGTGCGTGGTTGTGGTTGTTGTGGTGGTGGTGGTGGTGTGTATGTGTGTGTGCGTGTGTGCAAGTGTGCTGTGGAGTGACGTGGTGTGGCGTCTTGGTGGTTTGGTGGTGGGCCAGGTGCGTACGTGCGTGATGACGGTGCTGGTGGTGGTGGTGGTGGTGGTGGTGGTGGCGGGGGTGGGGGTGGTGGTGGTGGTGGTGGTGGTGGTGGTGGTGGTGGTGGTGGTGGTGGTGGTGGTGGTGGTGGTGGTGGTGGTGGTGGTGGCGGTGGCGGTGGCGGTGG